AGATTTAGATAGATAGATAGATAGATAGATTGATAGATAGATAGATAGATAGATAGATACGCAATGACTAATATAGATAGATAGAAAGATAGATAATAAACAAACTGTGATAGATACGCAATTACTGATATAGATAATAAACAAACTGTGATAGATAGATAGATAGATTCGAAGAGACTGAGTTAGATAGATAGATAGATAGATAGATAGATAGATAGATAGATAGATAGATAGATAGATAGATTCGAAGAGACTGAGTTAGATAGATAGATAGATAGATAGATAGATAGATAGATACATACATACGCAATGACTAAGATAGATAGATAGATAGATAGATACGCAATGACTAAGATAGATAGATAGATAGATAGATAGATAGATAGATAGATAGATAGATTTATTGCTTCTGATATTTAGCTTATGGATTACCAATGATTTTGATCTTTATCGAATTCCGTATATACCGAAATACCATTCCCTTGAATGCTACACAACCCGTAAAACCGCTTTATGCTGGAAAAAATTCAGATTTTTGATTGAAAATTAAATAAAAATTGTCTAAAAATTGTCTGAAAATTGTCGACAAATGATCTTCAGATGCAAGCGTTTTTAATTATCCGCTGGACATCTGTGTTGTTTTATTTACATTTCCGTTCCTTTTAAGCTACATTGAGATTTACATTGGTTTTGTTATCATTCATCCGATGATTCTGATTCTGATTCTGATGATGATGATGATGATGATGATGATGATGATGATGATGATGATAAAACATCAACAACATCGCAGATGCTTGGAATATATTCTCCGTTTATGTTTTATTCCTATTCCGAACAGTGTGACCTTGGACACGGCGGAAACGAACCGAGCAATACTTAATAAGAACTAAACGAGATACCATTTTGAACAAGAACAATCTACTCCCGTTGATTAAATCAAGGCTTTAGTCTGAAGCTACACGGATCGATAAATACCTGATGAAGGCCGGAAGGCACAACAGTCGAAACGTTGTGATAATAGAAACATACATGAGGACAGCAGTCCGAATTTAAATAATGTAAATAGTGATAACTGAGAGAAAAAAAATATTCTTTTCAATTCATCTTTTGGAAGATAAGGCCTGTATAAATAGCTTCATTCCTCTTACAGTCAGTATTATATATTTATGTAGTGGAGTCTGTCTATATTTCTGAGATGAGGTATTATGTACACTATTTACATTAGTCGGACTATTGTCCTCATCTTTGTCGCCATATTTGTCACAACGTTTCGGCCGTTGTACGCTCCGGCATTCTTCAGGTGGTTGGAAAAGACATGCAATGATAACAGCAAAATTGCAATATGAGCACTGGTAAAAATGATGCTGAAAACATTAGGTTTATAATAATCAGAAGTTCTTACCCAGATGTCCTCAAGGACACATGGCACAGTGGATAAAGGCGTTGGTTAGATCCAGTGACAGACCCAAAGTAGGTGAGTTCAATACCTGGTTAAGGCAGTGGAGAACTTTCAGACATAACTGACATACATCAAACATGACACTTGGAACTAGAACAGTCTACCCTAGTGATCGAAATAAAGGGTTCAGTTCGAAATTCCAAGCACCTGAAGAAGGCCGGAGTGTACAACGGCCGAAACGTTGTGACAAATATGGCGACAAAGATGAGGACAATAGTCCGGCTAATGTAAATATTATGTAGTGGAATTATTAAAGTGTAATTATCATATTGTTATGGTAATTTACCCACGCACGCATGGTATAAATAGGAGCAGGTACTGCCTTTTTGAGAGGGAAATTTCCAGCAGTCAGCTCTGACAGTCGGACCGAACATTCTTGCTGTAACACTCTCGTTTTTATATGTTTGTATTATTTATAATTTATTTTTTTAACTCAATTCCTCTTTTTGCATTTTTATTTCTAGCCCTAAAAAGCCCACAACACATATATATTCTCAAAATTTTCATATAATTTTTGTTAACTAGTAATGAACTGAAAACAGTGGAGTATTATACTGAGTCAAATGCCTTTTCATAGTCTACAATGTAGTTATTTATATATTATGCTTTATGGCATCAGTTGAAATATTTCTGTAGTTAGTCTATACTATGTCATATTATAATACGCAAGTTAGTTATTTAAAAATAGAATTATTACTAATTAACCTATGTTATTAAAATTTCCTGGATATGCTTATATTCACATCATAAATATACCATGTGAATTAAAGGTGATAATATCAACAAATTTGTAACAATTTATTGGGTGGTGACAGTTTTCATAATGCGATCTAATAACGTAATCATCTATGTTTTCTTGTTTAAGATCTAGAAACATTAGGATGTATCATAAGAAAGGAATAAAGTTAGAAGCGAAACACGATTGCGCAAAGACATTCAATGGTATTTAACGAAACAAGCGATATAACGATATTGAACAGCGTTGAAAATTGAGAAATCGTTGGACGGAAATCACAGAATAATAAAGAATTAATTTGTCACAGTAAATATCTGAAAAAAATAAAAAATAAATGGGTAATAAGCAAGAAATATGCATTGACGGGATAGAAAATATTGGAAGAAATTCTGGATTAAAACGTAAACAGTAAGAAAAGATGCAGAATATGAAGAAAATTTGCCCGAAGGAATAAAGGCAACGCAGTTATCAATTTTAAGTAAACATCACAAATAGAAATCTGATTAAAAAGATGAAAAAAACATTTGTCAGCATTAAGATTGTGTGATTAATATAGAGCTACATTGGAGGGACGTGATGTCTTTGTTAGATCGTCAACCGGAATAAAAAAGTTTCTTTCTGTACATTATGTAAGTTTGAGATATTTAACTTCAAAGTCTGGCTAACAATAACGATTTAAGAAGTTGACTGAAGCATGGTTTGACGTACTGTGACAGGATTACAGATAGAAAATTACTGGAACAATAATATTTTGGAACTTTTAAAAGAAGAAATGGATTTTAACACTACAGGAATCGAAGTTAAACAAAGAGCGGCAGAATAATTAATAGCGAGGTGATAAACAATAGCATCTTGTTGTGAATCTTGGAAACCAATCGATGAAAAAGGTAAATTGCTTATTCTCGGAGGAGTGGAAGTTGTACTTTGGTAGTATGTCAGTACGCTCGCATTAGAAAACAGATACGTCACCAGTCTGGGACACGGAGGCCGGTTCTCTTAATAAAGAGAGGAGCCAACTGAAGGAGGCAGAGTTTTGGGTTCGTTGGCTTCGAATGTAGTCGAACTGAATGGAGAGACGTCAGAGATTGAAAAGGAATCATCCGCTGTGTTGCTGAAGCTGAAAGCGAGGAAGCAAAATACCGCCGCTAGCATTTAAGTACCGCTACTCCTGCTACTACTAATACTAGTACTACTATTACTACTGAGAACGAGAACATCGCAGGTTGTAGTAATTGCGCTAAGAACAGAACAAAAAAAGTTAAACCCAAGGCCACATCTCTCCTTTACCGAAATTATTCGAAGTATTTTTGTTTGTTTGGTTAATGTTCACATTCTACCTTGTGCAACAAGAATTATTTTGTGTCTGTGTGTGTTTGTTGTATATATATATATATATATATATATAAATTTGTCCTTTCAAAATCGAATCGACTTGGTTATATTTATTTTTCTGCTAAGCCGATTCTCACCCGACGAACTCGCAGGTGGTCTAACGGAGAGCCTCTGGATTTCTACAATAGGATGACCACTCTCCAGGATCAAAACAATCACAACGTGGCTGGAGGGTGGCTTCGAATTGACATTGGGAAACGGAGACTTGTGTCGAACCTGTAATACTGGATCATCCCGGACCAAATGCCGGTTTTGTGGAGTGCGTGGGTCCAGTGGGGTAAGGATACAGTGTTACAGTACTATATATCATGTTCTCGGGATTAAATGATTCTTTACAAAACTTATGTAGTCATATAGGCCTTTGCACAGAGCAAATACCACGGGCCATAACAAAATAAAATAAAAGTAAAATTGCAGATAGAACCTTTTTAAATTATTGGGTCATTTATTTAAATTCTCAATTGAAACAACATATAAGACAAGAAGGGGATGAAAATAAATGATTTGTTTTAAAACTGGTGGAAGCAAAATTATAGTTCAAATTTCGTGATGGTGTCAAGATAAATGCCTACAGAATAAGAATTATTGTAATATGTTTTTTGAATTTGCGCATCCTACAATCAAGGAGCTGTAAGCTAAATAGAATATTGAGGTACGATATTGCTCCATCAACATCTGCATCTAATTGCACGCCTTGTTACAAATGTTTTGAAGATAGTAAATAAATGAAATAATCATCAGGCTACCCAGATATTAACCCAGTAGAAGATTTTGGATCTAAACTTAGAAGTGATATATATATATATATATATATATATATATATATATATATATAAAATGCAATACTGAAGAAATGTAACAAATTCACAGGCATTGAAACCATTCTAGCAAAGATACGACTTAGGTGACCTGGTCATGTTGTGAGTATAGATGAGCATAGGCTTCCAAAGAAGGTACCGTATGGACAACTACCAAACTCCAAATGTTTAGTTGGACGTCCACTCTTACGCTACAAAGACAAATTGAAAGACAATTTGAAACGTCTCAACTTTGATCTGAAAACCTGGGAAGCCCAAGCATCAAATCAAAAGGAATAACGTAAGCATGTTTCATTAAGTTAAAGGGTTTTGAAGACAGTAGACTGAAGCACCGTGATCAGCTTCGTCAAGCTCTAAAGGTGAGACGTCATGAAAATGCTGCTTTAACAAATTTCATCTGTCAGTGTGGTTTTGTCGCCTGCAGCAAGGCTGGACTAGTATCACACTTAATAAAGCACAAATAAAATATGTCTTTCCCTTACCTGGTTTTCACCACAATAGCCCCTGCTTGCATGCATAAATATCAAACAAAAGGCACCATCAAATGATGACCCTCATTTATCGTTCACGATAAGAGAGTCCACAATATATATATATAAAGGTCAGCCAATCTAACAGTGATCTCGTCTCACAATCCTCACTCCTGCTCTATATGTGACCTCCTTTGTAAATCACTAGCGGGTCTGAAATGCCACTTAAGATTATCGCACAAAATTTCATAACTGAATCAACTAAGCTGTCAGATCCTCATACGTATAATTTATTCCGTATACACCAATCATATATTTAGGTATATATATATATATATATATATATATATATATATATATATATATATATGAACTGGGACCAAAATACAGATCAAATATGGATCGGAATCCGACAGAATAAAAGAATAAAGATTGAATAGAAAACGTTAATCATTCTAACATATTTCGATTTTATTAAATCTTCATCAGAGAATGAGATGTGCTATATTTATGGGATAAAGTGCTCAATATCAGAGATAGAGCGTGTGTAAATGTAAAAGTGAACATTGAAGTCAACACTTAGAGTCGACAGCCTGTTTCATGCTAGATATATATATATCCTGTGAAAATGAGAACACATGGAGTATAATTTCACTGTACGTAACATTTAATTTAAAAGCCAGGTCAATACTGAGTAGGTCTAAATATTATTTATTTATGGATATTAAAACATGTTATAAATCGCTACGTAATGATAATTATGTTTCAACACCATAAATTTATCACCTCGGGTGTCACTTGCCAGTAGTTTTAACATCGCCCGAGAGGAGAAACATTTTTGGTACTGAAACATTATTGCTATTATTTAGCGATTTTTAACGTTTTAATATCCTTAAATAAATAAGTATATATAACCAGACACAACTTCGTGATAGCATAATGCGGATCTAAGGAATATCGCTGACCAAATTTACCAGATAACTTTGATATCATGGGGTTGAAAAGACATGAAATTCTTTGAAAATTTTCAGTGAATGCAAAAGAATTATCTCTCTGTATCCAAATTTACATTGTGTTCACCTATGCTTTATTGGGAAAATATGTGAAAGATAATACGCCTCCGTGATTTAGGAGTGTTCGTCTGCTTCTAACTCTATGTGTGCGCGTTGTGTGTGCACGCGCATGTGTGTGTTTGATAATTCTTTAAAAAAACAGATTCCATTTGTTTTCTTAGCCATTTTCTTCCATTTTTTTTTCTTTTAAATCAATCGAGGTAATGCACCGTTTTCCTCTGAGATTCTTTTTTTCTTTTTTATTTGCCGCTTATTGAACACGCTTCGTTGCCCAAGCAGTAATGGTTAAGGCATTTGGCATATTTAGACAGAAATCGCTATTATTTGGTGCAAAGCCTTTTCGCCTCGTAAGGAAAAAATTAATACCCAAAGATCTCATTTCGCAAATTCTGGGTTTCTGTCTCAACTTTGAAAAAGCGGAGGTTTTCTCCTTTTCATCTTTTCTCCCTCTCCCTTCTTCTCTCTACCCCACACATAAATACATACACACATACTATATATATATATATATATATATATATATATATATATATATATATATATATATATATATATATATATATATATATATATATTTGAAATATATTTTGAAGGTATAAAACGTAATTACAGAAATAAGTGTTTAGCTTAATATTGCAAGACATGTTAAAATGAAGCAACCGGTTTCGCTCCTGCTCTTCAGGCCTCTACGGGAAATTTAACTTAAATTAAAAACAACAGAAAATGTAATGAGAAAGGAAGGAAAATATATATATATATATATATATATATATATATATATATTATAAATTAATTGATTTAAAAATATAGTTATTTCGCTACATAGTTCCAATATGTTAGAAAAATAGAAGCTAGAAAACCCCTAATTTTATTTTTGCAAATAAAATTAAAAGCATTTTCTATTTCATCTTTCGAATTTTATATATATATATATATAGATAGATAGATAGATAGATAGATAGATAGATAGATATATTTGCTTTTCTCTCACTTTTTCCCGATCTTCCTTTCATTTTCTTCGTTTTTTTCTCACGCTTTCTTTCTTCCTCACTTTCTTACACTCTTTTTCTCCCTTTTCACTGATTCTTTTTTTTATTTCTCTGTTTCATTTACCTCTCTCTTTTCTTTCCTTCTTTCTGTCGGTTTGTCTGTCTGTCTTTTATTTTTTATTTTGCATATTATGTACGTTTGTTTCCTTCCTTCTTTCATTCGTTCTTTCTTTTTGTCTGTCTGTCAGTCTGTCTTGTGTTCTTTCTTTCTTTCTTTCTTTTTGTCTGTTTTTCCTTCTTTCTTTCCTCCTTGGTTCTTTCATTTTTGTGTCTTTCTTTATTTCTTTCGAATTGTTTTTCATTATTTCGTTTTTTCTTTCCTTCTTCACTTCTACTCTTTCTTTTTATATCTCTCTTTCCCAATTTCCTTCCCTTCTCTCTTTTCTGTTCTCTTTTTCTTTTCTTTCTTTCTGTCGGTCTGTCTGTCAGTTTGTCTTTTATTCTTTATTTTGTATTTTCTTTATGTATATTTGTTCCCTTCTTTCTTTCATTCCTTCTTTGCTTTTTCTGTCTGTCCGTCTGCCTTGTGTTCATTCGTTTTTCTTTCTTTCTTTCTTTCTTTCTTCACGTGTACACTTTATTTTTTATTCTATTCACAGATTCCTTCCTTTTCTCTCTTTTCCATTTTCTTTCCTTCTTTCCATAATCTTTTAAGAACTGATTACGTTGATCCTTTCATTTAAGTAAATCTTTTTTGATTTTTCTTAATTTTTCACAAGATTCGAATTCTCGATATTTTCTTTGACTATTTTCAGGAACGACTTCCTTCCTTTTGTCTTTTCTCGAACGCAACCGAGTGAAACGAATTTCTTTTTCTTTGGGGTCGTTCAGCTGTTCAGTTTTGTATTATTTTCTTCTTTAGGTCACCAGAAGACACACACGGAACTATAAAATTGATATCGTCACTAGATGAATTTATTCATATCATTCGTTCTATCTGTATCTAATGGAAATCGACACAAAGTTTGCCTCTCCACATTGCAATTGTAAATGTCTTTAAATTAAAATGTTTCTTACATAGCTTATAACGTCCCTGACTACATATGCACCTGGCAGAAGCAATAATTGAGAATCTCTTAAGGTGAGTTTATAAAGATCTTAAATAAAGCAATAACGTTATTCAATTTTGAGTAGTTTATCTTCCATATAATCAGGTGCTTTTTTTGAATCCCCAGGTTTATATAGGTTTATATATATATATATATATATATATATATATATATATATTAAATATAGAATTAGAATTATATATATATATATATATATATATATATATAAATATAAATTTTAAAGAGTCAGGAACAACCTACCTAGCGTTTTAGGATTTATTTTATTTATCCGAGCTCTACTTAGCGTATTGGGAACTCGACGTTTTAGCTTTATTACTTGCTTGGGGTTTTACCAATTTTTTTTAATCAGGTACCAATTTGTTTTGATATACTTGCAAGTTGTGCTATCCGAGGTTTATGTATGTATATGTGTGTGTTCGTGGTTAATTGTATTTTAACACATCAATATATATATATATATATATATATATATATATATATATAGAGAGAGAGAGAGAGAGATAGATATACCTAGAGTTATTTACTAAATCTTGATGCGATGCGTTGATTCGCATTGAAACACGACTTCATTTTTAACGTTTTTTGCGACATATTTTTCATGTATTTTCATAGGGTGTATATATATATATATATATATATATATATATTTATATATATATATATATGTGTGTGTGTGTGTGTGTGTTTTACTAATTTAACATAACCTTCTTTATATATACACATATATTTATCTTTATATATATATATATATATATATATATATATATATATATATTACTCCTGATGATGATCTGAAACGAATTGAAATTACTTGAGAAATAAATATTATTTTCGCTGTTACAGTTCATTCCTTGCATCATTTGATTTTAATACACGAAAAATATCCGTGGATATGAACGGATTGTGTTAAAAATAAGCAGACATAATGTTTGTAATTTGTTTAGTTTAATCAGACATACCTAAAGGAGAATTAAAAAGCTGTCTAAAACACACACACACACACACACACACACACACACACACACACACACACACACACATATATATATATATATATATATATATATATATATATATAATTTGTTATTGAGCATCAGTCCTTCATTAATGCAGGTTTGATTTAAAATGTTACATGTGTGTGATGTTAATGTTCCCTTTCTCCCTGCAAGTAGGTCAGTGTTATGTGTATGTAGATAATTTATTTTCTAGTACTTTCGGCTATTTATTTGCGCATTATGTTGCGTTTTTTTTTAATTTGTCCGTCTGTCTCATGCTAGTTGTGCCCTGATACTGTTGTCACTAATAAAAACATTACGTAGGAGCAAATGCCAAATTGAGAATTTTCTTTGGGAATAATGTTTCCATCAGGGGTTAAATAAATTACAAATTCCTGTGAATTATTTTAATAATCAGGCTTTCAAGAAAGGGAAGTTTATATGGCATATGTATTTATGTACGCATTTTTGTACGTATGTATGTGTGTATGCTGATTTTCTAAAAGTGGCTTACGTGTGGCACAGGAAGTTTTGTTGCACCCAGTGAGAATCGATCTCACCATTCAATCGTAAATTACCTAGGGAAACAAGCTTGCTAATCATTTCGCCACGTCGAAGTGTCCATGTATGTATATATGTATATATGTATGTATAAAAGGATGGGCACGTGGCCGAGTGGTCAGAACGTTCGCTTTCTGAGTCCCGGGTTCGAATCTCACCATAGTCGATTTGTCAGGAAGGAGACCTTAGTGCCTAAAAACCGTCGATAGCTGTACTAGCATTAAGTCACATGTCATCGTGACCGAGGGTTTGCGTGTGCTGGCCTTGTTCAGATCACGCTAAATAACATGCTCTCTCCCAGCAAACAAACACAAATGTGTCTGAGCTAGCGTAGGGATTGGCTAACCGCTCTAGTAGTCGGGTATTGTCTAATACGATTGGCTATCTATTATTATTATGTATAATTTATCACACTTTAATTCACAGTGCCTGCGTCTTACTTTTTGAGTGAACACTTCAATGCAGTACTTCAATGCAGTACGTTCCACCCGCTTCCGTTGAAAATCATTCCATCCACAGGACATTTCGCCTCTTTATATATTTATTCCTCTCTCGTTTTCTATTCTTCTTTTTCTCTCTCTTATCATTTTCTTCCTTTTTTCTCAGCCAAATGTTTTTCACTGATATCCTTAATATGGGATGGGTGTAATGATTTCGCTCGACTCCTAAATGTGGCTTAGTATGTACCAATTGGTGGTTTGACAAGACATTCTAACATGCACAATGATGTATTTCAGGCGGTGACTTTGAAAGATAGTACAAGTTTCACATCTGGAAATTAGCATGCAAGACAGAGGCTGGACAAAAGTATCATATGCGTGCACATTGCTGCGCGGTTATCAATGATAAAGCGACGTTACTTTGTCAAGAGGGTACGATCGCCATGTATATCTGTAAAGGTTTAGATCATCTAACGTGAAATTTTTTGGAGAACTGACGCTTCTATGTTGGTTATCATTGAAGGGAACGGTTGCTAACTTTAGCGGAGATTAGGGGAGTATGGAGAAACTATGTGGTGAAGGACATCAAATAATGTAGTTGGTTTCAGAAAAGCTAAGAAATGGGGATTCGTTTGAGGACAATCAAGAGAATATCTACAACATGTAACAAAGTAGCACAGGAAAGTAATTTCATCTAAAAGAACGGACAAAGTCATTTTTTAATTGTATTTTTCCAATTTTCGAATAAAATGTCGAGTATTGTGTTTGAAGAGGATGATAAACTATCTGATACCACATTGGTTTTTGAAAATGATTGTGACGCTCAAAAGTACTTGACAAAAACAATCAGAAAATATGACAATTTTTCTACAATTATCGCACAATACACAACACCTGTTTCGAAAATTTTGTGTTTATATATATATATATATATATATATATATATATATATATATATATATATATATATGTATGTATGTGTGTGTGTGTGAGTGTATGTGTGTATATATATATATATATATATATATATATGTGCATATGTATGTGTGTGTTTGTGTGTTTGTGTAAAGATATATATATTTTTAAGAACAACTTGAATGAAGCCGTTTGGCCAACACAAGGACGGACTAAAATTAACGAGAAAAAAACAAAATGAAAACTACAGATAAAATTCATTTTCTTCAGAAACAGTCATTCACTCCTGTAGTTCTCCGCTACTAACAAGCAGAATTATTTTTCTCCTATTTTTTTCTCCTGATGATGT